TGCTTAGTCTTGGATGGAAGCAGCCTGTAGGAAGCATGGACTTGGCACAAATGTGATGGAAGAATCTGGGACAACCGCTGAGGCCATTAGTGAATTATGCTGTGAGCAGGGCATATTCACTGCCTTACTCTGCATGGTCTCAAGATGACTTTTGGCAGCTATGGGAATTAAACCCTTCCCAGTTCAAATCCAGAGAAAGATAAGCATCTTTGGCCCAGCATTCCTATCAAAAGCCCAGAGATTGACTTGGATTGGACCAGTGTGGGTCATGTGTCTACCCCTGACCCAGTCATGGTGGCCAGAGAAATGCCATGTTCTGATTTGTCCAGGTCTAGTTTTCAAGCTCCACTTCCAGGGTAGTGTCAGAGCCCCACTTACACTATGAGAAGTCAGAAGTGGTGAGGGGCTGGTTCCCAAACAAAAAGACGCACATAAAGAATATATGTATTTTTANTTACACTATGAGAAGTCAGAAGTGGTGAGGGGCTGGTTCCCAAACAAAAACACGCACATAAAGAATATATGTATTTTTAATATATATATATATATATATTTAAATATGTCTTTATTGATTTCAGAGAGAGGAAGAAAAATAGCAACATCAATGATGAGAGAGTCATTGATTGGCTGCCTCGTGCACATTTCCCCCCACTGGGGATCGAGCCCGCAACCTGGGCATGTGCCCTGACCTGGAATCGAACCGCAGTCTCCTGGATCATAGGTCAGTCGATGCTCAATTGCTGAGCCACAGCCAGCCGGGCTGTATTTTTAATATTAATGGCTGTTGCCGGTTTATTTTCCAAAGACACTATAACAATTCACAGTTCCACCAAAAATTATAATAGTATTTTTTTCTACACTTTCACTAGCAGTGTGTGCTAGTTTTGTTTTGATTTTTTTGCTGACCGGATGGGTACAAAGTGCTACCCATTATTACTTCAATTTACAGTTTCCTAGTGCCAGCATGCGTTAAAATATTTTTTAACACATTCTGGCTACTTGGATTTGCTTTTCACAGGTCTCTACTGGTTCTTTTCTTGCCACTTTATAAGAGCACTTTTCATGTTATAGCTTATAACCCTCCATCTGACCTCTGCATTGCAAACAGGGAAGAAAAAAGCAGTCTGGACTCTTCACAGCCTTCCCTCTCTCCATCTTTGTTATCAGTACGAGGTCCATAGTGCTCAGGGTGCAGTCTAGATCAATATGCCAGGGGTGCTAAGGGACAACAGCATGTTCATTTTCTGTTTGTTTTGTTAATCTTCACCCAAGGATATTTTTTCCATTGATTTTTTTGGAGAGAATGGAAGGGAGGGAGG